GGGGAGCTGTCTCATCATATTTTTCAGTTGCGATATGCCACGGAAGGACGAGAGCGGAAAAAGCAGTCCGAGCGGATTGGCGCCACCAGTGCGTGGAGACCAGGCGTCACTTAGGCGAGGATTGTTTCGGAAACGAGAAAAGGTAAACCTTTTCTCTCAGTATTTGACAGTAGCAGTCAGGGAAAAGAGCGTTTCCTCTTGAAGAAGCTGTCCTCCACTTTTTAGATGTATTTCCCGACAAAATTATTAGCAAAAGCAGTTTATGATGCAAAAGTCAGCGAAGTGAATTTTAGTCGTCGCACGACTCGGTGATGAAAAGCGGTCAAGAAGAGGTATCAGACGCCGATTCGTCGCCGTCGACGCCTCGCACCGCTTCGTCGATCGACGACGGCTTGTCCGTTGGTCTCGGCCGCAATGATGAAGAAAAAGAGTGCTCCGAAACTGCACTTCGGGGTATGCTCGTTCTGCTTGATTCTTCTACCTGTTTACTCAGTCGTTTGTTTTTTTATTGCTCTTGCGTTTGTTGATTTGAATTATTTATCAAACTATGAAAGAACTCTTGTAGGTGATTTCTTCGTTCTATTCATACTTCTTGCCTTTCAGCGTTCAACCTGCTCAAGTCCAACAAAAGTGACAACATGGACGAGGAGTGTTCGGACTCGGAGACGGCTGATGAATTGAGTGTAAGCTTTTCTCCCTTTCTGTAAATCATCAAAATGGTTTCATTCAATTCGATGTGCGTCTCTTGGTGTGGGCAGAGGGTATAGTGCAGTGGCCTCGCTCCCCCACGCTCACAATCCGGGGATCGAATCCCGTCTGGGCCAACCAACCCTTTCCACCTCTCCGCATGTCTGAAAGTCTTTGTGTGGGCTACCGCATTCAAATGTCACTAAGATCCGGAATGGAGGTGCAGTGTGTGGCTCCTTCCAAAACGGGATTGGCCTAATGCCATAAACTTTATCCCCAGCTGAACGGCTTCGAAGTGGGCGTGGTTGCTCAGTCGGCTGCAATCCCCTCGGCCGACTTCCATGAGTCCGGAATTCACAACCGACACACTTCCTTATGTTCTTGACTAGGGCTAGCACATCGTTCCACACCATTAGTGTTGAAGGTAAAAACCCTGCTGGGACTGTTGCTCTAAATAAGATGGTTCTATAAAATGAAATGGCGAAGGTGATGTAGAGGCACATGACGCCCCTACTATGCCCATAGTCGGTTGTGAATCCCGGATCGGACACCGCCCAAACTCATGGTCAATCACTTTGTCCCAAAGCTCCCAACATGACACCGCAGTTCATCAGAGGGCTTACGAACGCTGGCTACAGAACCCTCCGTAAAGGGACCTTGCACGCGAACACCAGTACTGATCTGAATAGAAAAAATCTCATCAATTGCACGCGAACATCAGTATTAATCTGAATAGAAAAAATCTCATCAATCCAAAGGCTTGTTAATGCATGATTTCGAACTGTAACTCAACTTTGCGGCTCGCTCGAGAAGTAGTGTCGTTTCGTCTTCCAGTTTCTGCCGTTAAAGGTTTTGAGCTTTCTCCCAACAAACATGATCTTGTACATGTTCAGGAGATCGATTACCTCAGTGCAAGGAAGCCTACCAGTGAATCCATACGCGGGAAGCCTTCAAAGAATCCTTTCGATGGTAGTTTCTTTTCATTTTTCTTCCAATTTTTCTTCTTTACACACAAGTTTTTTGCTCTATCGCTCAACTATATACTTTTCGATGTTGTTGATCAGACGCTTTGGAGGAATTCTTTTTTTTCTTCAGTTTTTCATTATTTATTTGATTGCTTCGTTTTATTTCTGGTTTTTGTTTTTTGACCATGTTTATTCTGGCGCTGCTATTTGTTATGTTATTTGGTTGGATCATATGTGGGCTGTTTTGTGGAGTATTTTGATCATATTTCATCGTTACCGTGATCATTGGTCATGTTTAGCTCAAGGGAATATTCGCCTCTATGGTTTAATAGTGCCGGCGGCTCGGTCGTTGGACCATAAGGTAAGCTCAAATGTTGTAATTTGGACTTACTTTACTGGTTTGAAGTTCGACTCAATAGATTTCGCCTAAACGTGAAAAGTTGTGAAAATTCATGCAAAAGCTTTCAAAAGTCTTAAAATCACATCAGCGCGACTGCCTAACGCTATTTCCGAAAATTCATCGATCCAGCTGAAGGAGGATTCCACGATAAGGTCGAAGGTCGAAGAAGGAGAAACCTACCTAGTAGAAGGACAAGCGACCCCCCCCCTAAGGGTGCGGACCGACACGCAATTCGCAGCGAAGGGTATGCCCCAGCGATCTAGCATGGTCCCTCCCGCGGCGCTGTCGGCGCGGCACGCCCACCGACTGGCTAACCACTCACCGCAAGTCTCTAGCCGTTTAGCAGAGAGAGCGTTAGCGTTGAAGAGGGCAGCACCGATGAGAGTCGCATCGAGTGCGGTGAATCAGAGGAAGAAGAGGTTTCTTATTTCTCGGATCTTTGGGAACCTTAGTCGTGTTCGCATGCTTTTTTATTCATCGCGGCTTTGATGACCGCCTCTTCCTCAATCAACCGTAAACTACGCCTTTTGAAATTGACAAGCAAGACAGGCCCACCGTCGCGGTTTCTGCTGTTCCACTCCTTGCTACGCTCTCTAGTGTTTGAACCTCGGCGTCTAGTTTGTCTGACATGTTTTCCTCTAGACTCTCCACCCTCCTACTTTCAGGAGAAGGAGAAAACGCGCTAGAATCAGTTCCAGGAATGCCTTTTCATTTTTTTCAGTGGGAAAGTCAATGAGCACAATTCAGTCTATGGATCTTCCACTATGACCCCATTTTTGCTACATGAAATGAATTCAAAGCTAGCGGGTCGCGATTGGATCCTTAGGGAAATTTTCCCTTCAAGCGAGTAGTAGAGCCCCTACTCATCACAGGTGATGATATGTCGCGACTTGAAAGTACGTATCGTAGGAGTGTAATGTATTCGCTTGCCGCTGCGACCGCTGCCATCCTTATCAAATACGGACAGGAGGCCGGCCTTTGATTGCTCTTGTGGAAGACATACTCTCTCGCGTCGGCCTCTCCTCACAGCGCCATATCTCTCCATCATACCACTGCCGTCTTTACAATGGAAAGTACAGTGTCTCTATTATATTTGCTTTTTTTCTTAACTTTCATCATCGCAGCTTATGTCTAGTATTCGAGCAATATGACCCAGCATTCGACCGTAACCGTGCCTTCATATGTGAAGAAGATGCGTCCATGCTTCGAATTATCACGGATAAATTATCTGGGAGACTTTTGAGTCTTGAAGACTTTTGAATATTTTTCTGTGGATGTAAGTTATGTAAAAATAGATGGCAAGAGCCAGAGGCAAAGTAATAAAGCTTTTCAAGATCCATAGAAAAGACAATTTCTGCCAATTTTACACTTAGTTAATGTCTACAACATTTATAGGGCATTTTCGAAGGAGTTCGTCGATTTGCGTTTCTATTGGAGACGACTCGACCGGGAACATTTCCAGACCCACCGCTTATCGCCGCTCTTTACACCGGTGGTGAGTTGTTTTTGGATTTCGGAAATTCGCCCATTTGGAATTTCTGTGGGTTCCTTTTCATTTTACTTTTCTAAATTCCTAAATTCTAATTATATGAGGTGACCCTGTGTCAGTAGATAGAGCAACGCATTGTATGCGCGTCGCTTTGTTCTGCCTTCGCGTAGGACGTCCATACTTTCCGTCTAGTGTATCGGGCCATTGTTCTCAGCATTATATGTTGCGACAGAGAGTACAATTTAGGGGAGCCTCCACCAAGTAGTAGACAAATAATCATGTCATCATGCTTTGCGATTGAGCTAGTGAATGAAATCAGTGTGAGCTCCAGGTTTTTAAAAAATGCGGATTTCTAGTATTATGAGACACTTGACATAACGTGTTGTGCTGCTTGATTCAATGAAAATTAAGCAGCAGTGTTACATTTATTTATTTATTTATAACGTTGTGCATAAGGCAAACGCAAGACATATGAAATCATACAACTCACGACCGTAGTTAACGATAGTTCAGTAAATGTTAAAGCTCACTAAAGCTCAACAATTGCTTCTTACTTATACGCTTGAAAAGTCGGAAGGTTAGAGGCGATATCACTACTGTAGTTTTAAGAGAAGTGAATTCAGATCTGTGAATCACTTCTCTTAAAATTCAGTATCTGTGAAGTTAAAAAATGAAAAGTGAATTCAGAAATACATTGGACGAACTCGCTTATTCATCAAACGAGAAGGTTGGAGGTCGTATTCAGAGACCCGATCGTGAGAAGGCGGAGGTTGCGCACTGACGACGGTGACTGCCGTCATTTGAAAACGATTTTCACCCTGGTTTGCGGATATTTCGTAAGAATGCTGAGTTATGTAAACCATTGCCTTAAGATACATATTCAACAACCTCTACGATTCTTAAAGTAGCTACATGAGTGCCAAAATTAAAACAATGAGTTGGCTGTAGTTATTCCACTTATTTTTGCCTCTAGTATATTATGGTAAAATTGGGTAAGTCTGCCGGTGCTAGTTTTTGTAACGAGTTTACCTACCGTAGCATTAACAGATAAGTCATGGCTTTATCTTTATATGTCGTAGAGGGAGAGTTAGGAATCACGTTGATTCATTCGTGAGCAAATTCGCTAATGATCTAGAACCAGAGATATTGGAGGGTTCATTCGATTAATAACGCTGACCGTTTACAGAAATCTCCTTTGTTGCTGGCTCGAGCAGCCGTTCATTCTGCTCGAATGCTGCCATTTTGTCTCGCGATGCAATCGAGGACAATGGCCTGAGTGGATTCGTAGTAGTCATCATCGAACGCTCAGTCTCGGTGGACCACTGGCCAACCGAGTGAATCCTTTCTCCTTGGATCGTTCGAAAAGAGGGCATCGCTTCTCCGTTCTAAGTATTTCAAATTAAATTGGAACGTTCAAAATCATTAGTATAACATTAACTTCTTTAATGAAAGTTCGAAAATGCCAAAATCATTAGGCACTCCATCTGGCACTCGCAGAATGCATTCGCTCCAACGAACGGCTGGCAGGTACTTCTACCAGTGGGCTGTGCAGGTAAGTGTCCATAACGCATTCGTGGCGAGTTTCCTGACAACAGACAAAGTTCTCGTTTGGCACCATATAACCGATTTTTGAGAGTTATTTCTCATTTCTGTGCAGCCATTTCTTTGTGTCCATTATAACGCATATAAAATGCCAGTAGCAAATTGGATCAAAATTGTTTTAATTAACTGACCAGCAGCGCTCCAAAAAGCAACAAATAACGATAGAACGTGTTTACAGATTGGAGATCAATTGACGCGATTCATCGAAGTCAAAGAGTCGAAAGAAAAGGCTGTACTCAAGATGGAGGACTCGATGGAGGATTTTTTCGATGACGGTGAGGTCTCGAGTCAGTAGTCAATTTCGAGTGTGATTGGCGAAGCACAATTTTTAACCAAACGGCACTTTTGATAAAAATCATTTTCTTTCCTCTTCACAAAGGCAACAGCGAAAAGAGAGCCTTTCCAAGGCTTTCTGAATTCTCAGGAAACACTGGCCATAAGACGGGGCACAAGTGTTGAGAATGACTTTCATCAACACCTTTCGCCAAGCTTTTTCAAAATGGTTTCTTGCATGACATTGGGGCACATATGGGGACCACAGAAGCATGGTTCATTTTTCCTGAACGGCCCTCTGAATACCAGAAAAGGGGTCCCTAGTTCGATTCCTCGTGGTGACAAATTTTTGCATTTCGAGTTGACGTTCCAAATTCGCGCAAAATGGAGTTAGCATGAATAATTAGTACCATATTCATGATTAGGACCGTCAGTAACCCTTACAAATAGACTTTGATTGAAAAACTGGTGAAAAAGGTGTGACTAGGGACCCCCTTTTCTGGTATTCAGAGGGCCGTTCAGGAAAAATTAACCATGGTTCTGTGGTTCCCGCATGTGCCCCTATATCATGCAAAAGACCGTTTTGAAAAAGCTTGGCACACCCTGAAAGACCTTCCTGGTTAGTCAGAATCTTGAAGAAATAATTAAATACATTAGAAAAAATGCGTCATTAACCTAGTGAGAGTGGGCATTTCTCATGCTTTTTCCTTCATTCGTGTACCATCATTCTCTCCCTGAGTCCCTAAGCAATTAGAATTGTTTTGCTTTATCTGTCTTCAAGTCCTAGTGCGATTTTTCGCTTTCACACGCTGCAAAACGGGTTCTGTCATTCGCAAAGATTGGGGATTACATGTAAGCAGCACCAGACCTGTCAGTAGTCGCCCCGCCAAATGTCTTTAATTCACGGCGTTATTCCAAATAGACTCTAAGTGGTTTCCCACTGCCTAAAAATCAAGGTTGGATCTCGATGATGCCGCTCCGCGTGCGGCAACTGCTCAGCATCGTCTGTGACCATCTTGCTCTCTGTCGCCGGTTGTTTTGCTTCTGCCATTTGCAACTTAATGGGCGTTCTTATTAGCACACGCATAATTGGCGATTTAGTCTTGAAGTATGAATTTGCGCGCTATAGCTGATATAACGTTTTAAACATTGCAATTGTTATCTCATTGTTCCGTATAGTGCATCGAAAATGGGTTATAGTAGCAAGTCAACTTTGCTGTGCTGTGCAAATGCACTGAAAATTTCTAGTACAGGACGCTCACATTCGATTGAACACTTTTACCAAGAAAAATGAACGAAAAATTTCTATACTTGAGATGGTCATGTGCTTGCAGCCATCGTCAACGATGCATCCGGTGAGAAATGTCCACCAGCGTTGCAGTTGATCGCCATGCTACTGCTTCACGAGATTACCTCCTTTCTGAGGGAGACATTTCGAACGATTCCGCGAGCGAAAAACAACAAGGTTGGTGCTATTACTCAATTTTTATCCTCACTTTGGGCATTTTTGGCTCCTATTTGGATCCTTTGCTCATCTCATAAAATCAACATCTTTTTGGAATCCTCATTCGAAGCGCATGCGCCCACGGACCAGGCTGGGCAAGAAGCGGGCTGATCGTCATCGCAGTGTCATGCCTTACCAACACTTCAACGCCCACAGCAGACGGGCCTCCGTGCAGCAGCGTTGCTGATGTGAATTCGTCCATGGCACTGTAAGTTTACCGATTTGTCTGTTTTCTTTGAATATAAAAAAATATGGAGGTGTAAAATATTACCTTGTAGTCCATGTCCCAAGTGGATCAAACTGGGTGGGGCTTGACACACCAATATTAAAAAAAGTACATGCAATTAGTGCGGAAGTGGGTCGGTCCAACAGTAAAGAAAAATACGCACGCATTTTTCGCAAACAAGGACTAGCTCGGGGATTTCCTCCTCGCGTCAATTTGTTTCCCGTGCTGTACCCGCCACCTTCCCGTTCGTGCCTGTTTAACCCTTCTCCGAGAATAGAATGCCAGCGGTACGCTAGCGGAAAGCATACACAATTTTTGGGATGATACAGGCCGCACGTTCGCAAAGCCCTTAGGATGTAGCTAGCTATCGGAATGACGGTTGGTGCTTACACGCGGCAGCGACCGAGACTGAGCCGGGGATAAAGATGAGCAAAAGACGTGCGCGAGCGCGACATATAGAAGGGTGCCAGACAACGGCCTGCGCACGGAGAACTTTGCAGCGGCTGCATCTCACTTTACAAGGCCCCAGTGCCCTTATCAGATGATTATCGCGTCTCCGTGTAACCTCATATCACCCTGATCCACAACTTTCTTATTGTAGTTTTGCCAGGGGCTTAATCAAATGAAAGATGGATCTGCTCCTCGCATGGCAAGTGTTATAGGTGATTCCACGCTACTGCACGACCTTTGTCATAGAACATTGAATGATAGTGAACATCTGTATAAATGCCACAAATCTTTCGCATTGCTGACGATTTGCAGTGAACGAACGTGAGCGCCGGATCAGCCTCTCGACAGCAGAAGAGGACTCGCCAAGAGGTTCGAAAGACACTATTGAGGATGCGGTAAACGAGAAGCGAGGTATTTTCCAATCTATAGAATGACTTAGCTGACACATTTTCGGTAGTCACGCTCTGATGGCGTATTCTCGGAGCAGAAATACTAAAATGAGACAAGCTACATATGAGTTTATTTGTAGTTGCGAAGCCACCTCGTTTCTTAAACTATATTCTATTGTGACGGTATATAAGCTACAACATATTTATTTGCAAAGAAATTATCAAAGGAACGAGAAGAGCCGCCTTACAAGGGAGATCTTTCAGGTGTGGAGCAATTTGACAGAACGATTTTTTTGTAGGAGCTCTCACCTTGCTTGCAAAACTGATGTTCGTTTTCGCTAAACGACCACTGATGGCCAAAAAATTTCAAAAAATTTGCCTAGGGAGGGTGGTTTTAGCGGAACTCTATATCAAGTGCAAGGGTAACTGATGGTCCTAGTACTGAATATGGCACCTGCCGTTGGCGCTGGCGCTATCTGGGAGCTCCAAGCTAAAACGCCAAGATTTTGTCATGACCGGGAGCCAATCCTTGCAATGTTTCTCAAAATTTTTGGCCTCCACGGGGCTCCAAAGCAGAAATGAACTTTAGTCCACTCATAAGTTCCTATAACATGCAGGAAACCATTTCGAAAAGCGCACCACATCCTGAAAAACCTCCCTTGTCAGTCTCGAAGCAGTGATCGCGTTTCCATATTGATCACGTCTTGTCTCATGTTAAGGATTACGTCTTTGAAGCTGGAATTTTGGCGTTTCTGCAACAAGCTTGGACTTTTAACTTTTACTTTTCATTTTTTTCTATCATAATTGGTTCACAAACTTTTTACTAAATTGTTTCTATCTAATGTTGGCGTCACAAAACTTTGGACTAAATTGTCCTAAATACACAATTTTTTTCTTACCTTGTACCGAAATTTATTCTATTGAGAGCATTGTTCTTCGTGTGTGTGTGGATGTCTAACGCTTCGCAAGAGTCCGGCTTTCTGTTGTGGCGCTATTGCAAGTTTGCTGTGATCATCTATGTGATCATCTATGGCCAGTCCATGTTCATGAACCGAGAAATCTTCCGCTTGTAATCTGTCGCTTCCTTGTTCTGTAGCTTAGCTGTCTGCATGGTGAATGCCGCTAGATTAACCCGATGTTAGCGGCCTGATTACCAATGAGAGATTCTTAAGGCGAGAACTAACGTCTCAAGCCCTGCCGTCAATAATAAGTCTCGATTTGAAGGATATCCGTGCAAGAATGGGTAAATCCATCTACTCAACGGGCCGCTTTTTTCTGCGATGCTCTGGATTTACTTAAACTTTGTTTTTGATCGGTTATTTGCACACCTTAGCAGATAACCTACATTTAGCAAACTCAAGGTCACCGTTAATGTACATATGTATATCAGCAATGTGGCAATGAAATAGTAATCTGAAGAGGAAATTAAGGAGGGTTGCTAAACCGAATAGGATGCGAAGAAGCCAGCAAGAAGATGAAAAAGTGAAGAATACAAGCTTTGGGTTAATCCGCAGGCCTCTCCCACCAAAATCATCCCTTCCAAAATCCCTGGGATACGAGAAGACGTAAACAGTCCTCACAGGTAAAACTATTCATACCTCGCTTGTACTTCTAGCCTGCCGGTAGCCAAATTGGAACAAAAAAAAACGGTCCATCTGAGCCAACCAAATTTCCCGACCACTACGCTTAAACACAACGCCTTTCTATTTCTGCCTTCTTCTTCATGGCAAATACTATTTCCTTTTGTTCTATTTTCCACAGAAAGCCTTTTTCAGGCTCGTTGTACCTTGTGGCTTTTTTGGGATCTCTCCATTGACTTCTCCTGTTTTTCTTCTATGCTTTTTACTTTACTTCGAGCTCCCTCTTTTTTGCACAACTCCGGGTGTCTGTCTAGAATGAGAGTGTAAAGTAAAGAAAGCGTGAACGAAGAAAGCAACGCCGTCGAGCAGCGATACCCCACAGTAGTCACTTATTAAGCAGTTGCTGAATACTCGTAAGTTTGGCTGAGATTATGATCTGCCTCTCTTATCTAAGCCTCGGTCTAAATATGTCGATGAACCATCAAATATCCAATTTTCCTGGAGATCACTTTCGCTTTCCAATGCTAACGCATTCGATTAATATCCGCTAATTGCTTTCTGGCATACTTCATTTGGGAAATTTTTCTTTATAACTTCAATCCGGTAGCTTGTTTTCCACAATCCTTCCCCATTTTAATAGCCTTTAGGGCCTTCTTCGAAGTCGGTCCGTCTGTCCTGCTCTCTCTGTACTATGTAGTTGTATCTTCGTCCCTCTTCCCCTCTCGTTCTCTGGTATTCTTCTCTCCTTCACTGTTTTTTTTAAAGTTCGAACTTGTTTTCGGAGAAAACTCTTGCTACAGCTTTCTTTAGACTCTTTGGGCGCCAACGCCTGCAATAAGTGGTTCATTCCATTCTCAACTCTGATCTTTGTGAAGGCCTATTTTCCAATTTGTCTGGATAGAATAGGTTCTATGACGAACTAAACGTGCACTTCATTTCGGAAGACGAAGGCGTCATGGGCAGACCACACACCACAAATGACGATGGCAAGAAAAGAAAAGCTATCTTCTTCTCTTCCGTTGTCACTTGTGGTGTGTGGTCTGCACTCGACGCTATTCTCGTCTTCCGAAATAGAAAGTATATTGCAAATTCGCGCGTTCGCAATCAGGCGAATTCCCCACTTCTTTGGGTTTTTTCGAGAAACGGGTGGATTGCTTTCTATTCGGGAAGGGACGCTATACAAGTAGAAAAGTCTGCTTGCTTGAGATCATGCCTTTGTTCATAATTTCCATGAGAACACAAGCACAAAAACCCATAGTTTTATTGCGAACTATCATTAGGATAGTGTACGAGACGGATCAAATTTACCCGGTGTCGACTTCACATAATCGGAGGAAAACACAGATCGAAACATCAGCTTGAGTGGTAATAAATAAAGCGACAGGCTGGAAGGAGCGAGAAATTTCGATAAGAATCTCTCTAAGGGGGCCACAACACATCGTTACAATTTTATAATGTACAAGAAATCGTGGTGATATGAACTGAAGTACAACAAAAATCGAAGTGGACGTGAGCTTGGATAAGCAGAACACGATAGGTAGTAAATATTTTCGGATGGATCTATCGATCGTATGTAGCAGAGTGAGAGTGAACTCTCGGGGCTGCTGGTCACGCGGAATCTGCTTTATCAGTTCCGTGAGTTGGCACTTGACTTTTTCTCAAGCGCTTCAAGACGACGTCGCTGTCGCTCTAAACAATTTACCATTGGTATGAAACATTCTTGCACCTTTCACGAAAGGCTTCAATGAATGAGTGGTTTTTGGAGGTGAGATGGGTGGGAGGGGTCGTCTGTGGGCACCAGAGTGAGAATGAACCTCTAAAGGTTCACACAGCTTACTGATACTTAAGACTACTTATTTGACCTCCTTCATAGGTGCGACGCAAATCGTCAAACTCCTACAGGATTGAAGATCGGGTGGTGTAAAAGGGACCCATCCAACCTGAGGTTAAATACCAGGCGGTACCATAACCACTGTTGCACGTTTTGAAGGACTACTGCTATCATCAAATGGTAAAGCATTCGGCGATGACCAGTCCCGTTTTGGTATGGGCCATATTCTATTTCCCATTCAGGATCGTAGTGACACTTGGAAGATTTGGCCTGTACGCGGCTTGTGGGACCAGACGACTTGCAAGCCAGTGGCTCCGTCCTTCCAGGCAGGTAGGTGGTAGCAGATGAACTCACCCCGAGAGATGGGACCCAAGATTAAATTTCCAGATCGCGAGCGTGGCAAGCCGTCACTTGCCGCAACACCACTTCCTCCCACAGTTAAAAATAAGTTC